CTCGTCTCTCCGCTTCCATCCCGGTGGATCGTCGTTTCGTATAGCCACGACTATTTTTTCTCTCTCTCCCTCTCTCTCTTTTTTTCTCTAGGCTACCATCAGCCTCGTCATCCTGGGAATATATTTTTTCGCGCGTCGCTCACCGACGCGTAGGCTCGTCGGATGTGCTCATAATGAAATTACCGCGCGTGTCAGCTGCGCGAAGACACGGTTTTACGCGCAGCTTTTGGGCCGTGGCCAAGAGTATCCACGGAAAATCATTCCATCCTCCGTGATTTTAACGCACACGCGTATGAAAATCGTCTGGCGGAGTGACGGAATGCGAGAGAGAGGGAGAGAGAGAGATTGTTTGGTTACACGTCGAGTAATCCCAAACAACCTTGTTCTTTAATACTACACGGATTTACAAAATCTGTCTAAACGACAGTTTCCAGATTCTTTTTCTTTTTTTATTTCTTTTTTTTTTTNTTTTTTTTTTTTTTTTTTTTCTTTTTAGAAAGTAGCAAATCGCGCGAGAAAATTAAAAGTTCTTTGTCATTCTTTTAACTTAATCTTACGAAGCAAATCGTTTCTAACTTCATTCGATGGTTAAAAGGGTAGAACTCGCGATATTTTAATATTTGAAGAAGAAAAATTTGAGAAAGGCGAACGGTTCCTCTAGGCAGGTCTAGGGGGACGTTTTTTAATTAAAGGGGAGAATTATTAAAATAATACGCATTTGACAAAATTAATTTTAACTTTCATTCGAACTGAAATACACACAATTAGAAGCCCTTTATTTTCATTATACCAATTTAATTATAACCATCTACGTGTAACATATTTAAATAGCGCACGTCGCTAGCTAATTAATTTATGCACAAACATAATCTATAGGTACTTGAACTTTCTCGAACGCTTTTCAACGCCCAGCTTCCAATTTTTCTCCGCGTAATCCTCTTATCGCCTCGACGCAGCGGTTTATAATCAATGCCTAATTAACGCCGCGATAACGACTACTTCTACTCATCATCCGAGCACTGTATTTTTCCACCTGGCTGTATACTTTCAAATCCTTTCTCGTCAAAATTATCCTACACCCTCCCCTCCCTCCTCCCCAGGTATATTCGTATTTATTAGTGGATCGCGTGTCGGTACAGAGAAGGAGCTTTCTCTTTTTTTTTTTTTTTTTTTTTTTTCCAGTGAAAATGGCCACTCTCTCGAGCGCACAATTTCATTAAGGGCGACGTCCACTTTCGTGTTTTCGGCGCATCACTTCTAATTCTCGACTCCGGCCGAATTTTCAACCGCGGTCCGGCTCAATTTTCGCTCGTTGGACGCAACCCGTTGTTCCCCTGGACTATTTCGAGAGACGCCCTTTCCCCGCCTCCTCCGTTGTCCTCTGAGACGCGCACGACGAGATTTATCGCGCGAAATCGCGCGACGCGCTTCCAATTAACCCTCGAATAAATTCTTGCTCTCGGCCCCGACTTTTCCTCTCGCCAACCACGAGAGAGAGAGAGAGAGAGAGTAATAGTAGCGGTGGCACGATGGACGACATATTGTCCCCTATCGCCCTATCCATTGTCAGATCGCCAAGTTTACAATTTACCACTATTTTATCTCAATAATATATCGCAAACGGCACGTTGCCAAAGATAGGTTCGTAAAATTCTTACTGTATTAACATTAGAAAGCAAAAAAAGAAAAAGAAAACTTGTACCTCGATACTAGAAAAAAAACTCTTATTCAAACATCCAACTTTATCGTACAATTATTATATATTATTATTATAATTATTATTATTATTATTATTATTACAATTATATTATCGCACGTATTAAATACGATTCATCGATTACTTTTACATAATTTCAATATTGGAGTAAGAAAAATTTTATGAAAAAAGAGAAAAGAAAACGTCCTCGATGTATTAAATATCGCGAGGCTATATTTTCTTTTAATCTAAACAGGCGAAAAAAAAAAAAAAAAAAAAGAAAAAAGATCGATAGAAGCTCCTTTGAAAGCGCATATCGGCCCGCGATGTTTTTCTATCCCCCAATCCCATTGGGCCCTCGGTCCCGAGCGACGAATATTTATAACGCGCGGAAGACGCGGTTCCCCGTTCGCCTGGAAAATACCGATAGGCTTGGCATTGTACCACCTCCTCCATTCAATCTACCTACCTCTCGCACTCCCTATCCCCCTTTTTTTGTATATTCCGTTGCGAAGGTTGCGCGAAAATCCCCGTCGATGTACGACGGGGGCTTTCAATGCGGCGCGTTTTTCCCGTTTCTCGGTGGAAATCGCGGTGGAAAATAGGCGGTAAGAGAGGGGGTCTCTCGTCGATCTCGACCTCCCTGCAATCTCATCCTCCGTGGAGACGCGTAATCTAAAATTACTCGGCTCTGGATCGTTGGAAATCGCAACGCAACGCGTGTCGCAATCGGATTTTCGATATCCGAAGTTGTCGCCGATTCGAGGAGGAAATGCGATCTGTATCCTCGCGAGGAGGGGGAGAGACGTTTGGAGCATTGTATCGGGGGAGAATTAAATAAAAATCACGCGAACTAGAGATTTGGCGGGCGGCTTCGGAACGGAGCCAGAAAACGAGATGAGCGGTTCGCGGCGTTCGAGCTTGGCTGCTCGTCCGCATTCTGCTCTGCATATGAATGAGGGGAGAGGCGAGGGCGAGGTTTGGGTGGATGGAGGAGAAGCGGAGAGTCTTTTCGTGGTGGTAGGGTTCGGTTGGGTTGGGTTGGGTTGGGTCGAGGGGGGGAAGGAGAAGAACATCGCCGTTCGAGTCGGGGAATATCGGGCAAGAAACGGAACGAAAGGAGGAACGCTGCGTTTATTAAACTGTGCGCGGACGTGTGTGCCCCCTTTCCACCTTCCCTTCTTCGACTTCATCCGCCTATGCTCGCTCCACTTCCCCTTTTCCCGATCCACATATATACCCTTTACACCCTTTCTCGACTCCACCACGCGCGAAAATAACGATTCCGCTTACTTACTCCTCCTTCCCCTCCGTGCTACTCTTCTCTTTTTCACCGATTCCGAATTCGAACTTTTCGCCTCTCGAACGAGGGGGCATTATCCTTTTCAGCAAAAAGTTACTCGAGAACGAATGTCAACGAGAGAGAGAGAGAGAGAGAGAGAGAGAGACTTTGTCGAATCGCGGATTGTTTCCATCCCTCCCCCTGAAACTTTGCTTTCGTACAGATCCGAATCGAAAGAGAAAGAGAAAGAGAGAGAGAGAGAGTTTGTTTGAGAAAGGATCGGCAAAGTTTTCCTAGGCCGGTGTCGAATCGAGGTAAACGATTTGTTCTACGCTCGAAACTCGCAGTATGACGAAGAAGGGAAGTTAATAGGTTAGTTTCCTTTCGCAGCCATCTAATGGAGCAGTCCTTCTTTGCCTTTTTCCTTCTTCTCATTCTTCTTCTTCTTCTTCTTCTTCTTCTTTTCCCTCGTCATCTCGAAAGGGTTAGCAGCAGGCAAGTGTTCCTCGAACGCGCAGATGTTCCACGCGGAGCGTGGAGTATACGCGGAAACCGGTGTCCACTCGAACGAGAACACTGGTCCCATTATACATAGGAAACACGAAACCTCGTCGTTTTAACAGACGTATTTAAAAAATATACATATATATATATACACATATACAAGACTACTCGTGCAACTGGCTTATCGAATATCGAAACACCACCCACGGAGTTAGTCCTATCTCTCATCGTCCCGATATCTTCGATCGATATCGATTAAAGAAATTGGAAACGCGAGCGTTGGAGATCGATCATCGAAATGGCGCTTCGTATGACGAATAGATTCGGCGTCGTATCGAAGGATCTGTTCCGTCCCGATGATACACACGCATCCTCCACAGGATTGGGGCGTCATAGGTTGCGGAGAGGCCGAAACAATTAATCAAGGGAATACAATCGTGTGTGCAAGCGGATGGAGAAGGGGATGGCGAGGGGGTGGGGAAGCGGACGAACCGTTGGCGTGACTGATTCATTATGAGAGTGTAATTAAGTCCGTGTATTAGCATACCGACTAGAGATGGAGACCCGTTGTTCCACAATCGGTCGGCGGCGAGCGGAACGACTTGACCCGAAGCTACTTCCTATGCTAACGAGATACCCATCTTCCCAATAAAGTGCGCGTACGCGCTAGTGCACACGTGCACGATGCGTAAGAAAAGAAGGGAAAAAAAGGAAAACAAAATGCCGCGCGTTCAGAATTATAATATCCACCGTTTCCCCGTCCCTCTATTCTCTGGTCACCAGCCATTAAGAGATACGGGCCAGCCAGACGCGTATCTCTTAATTAGCCGGCGAAAAATCCACTCTCTGGCCGCCGTGAAGAGGGAGAGGGGGGTGCTGACCCGTTATCAATTTAACCCCTGGCCGCCAACTTTCTCGGTCAACCGGGGTATTTCTCTATTTTCCTTTTTAACTCCTCCTTGTGCCTCGTAGTCCGTGCGCTGCCTGTTTTCCCTCGACGGTATCCTCGTTTTGCTAACGAGTTTATCCTCCATGACCTCCCTCTTTCCCTTCCTTTCCTTTTGGTTTTCTCTTCCCTTTTGTTTCCTCTCCGTGGAAGAATCGTTCAAGGCTCGCGTACGATCGCGGCTCCACCGTCCAAGTAACGAGATTTCCGGCGTCGATTGTTTTCCCGTGCCTCGCGTTTTGCGGCGTTTTCAGCGGCGGGAGTTGGAAAGGGAGTAATTCGGTTTCGAGGGTTCGAGAGGGAGGAAAGGGGAGAGGAACGCCACGTTGGTTCGGCTCGACTCGAACGATTCGGCCGAAAAAAAGAGGGAGGGGGGGGGGAAGAAATGGAAGAACCGCCACGCGAGTTGGAAGCGAGTTTCTCGCGTGAGGTGGAAGAAGAAGGAAAGGGGAGAATAGATTACGAGGTGGTGCGTTAAGGGAAGAGATAAAGGTTCTCTCTCTTCCCCGCGTGCCGATTAATAGTTCTGTCAATAAGATTAATCGAGCGTTGATTTTCCGTGTGGTTTTCAGCACGCTGAGGTGGAGGATGGAGGAGCTGGAAACGCTGGAGAGCACGGAGTGCCCCGAGTGCCCCGGGCCACCCCCCGAGTTCCGGTTACCGCCACCCCCTCGGCCACCCTTCCTCACCGACGGCACCTTTTGCTCGGAGGAGCCACTCACCGAGATCGAAGATTGCGTCGCCATCCCGGTAAGTCCGATTCCTTCTCGATCATCTTCATCGTTTCCGCCCCATTCCAGTTCGCGTCGCCAATTATCGAACCGCTGTAAAAAATTAAACTTTGCTCCCAGAATGCTTTAATCCAACGAGATTATTCGACACACGAGCTTCGTTATATTTCGTTATATTTCGTAACTGTGAGGGTTCGAATCTTTGATTCGAAATTTATTTTTTTGCAAAGTTATGATTCGTCTCTTGAAGTCGAACCGCGTGGATTGCACGATATATATCGAACGATATTCGCTCGAAATTTAATATAAATCTTGAAGTTTCCCGTTTCAATCGGGTTCAATCCATCTTCGAGAGAATTGGCGTATTTACCGAGCGGTATAATCGCCGGAATACTCGAATACTCTTCCATTTTAAACGGATACACACGGACGGTGTGAAAAGCACGAGCACTCCTCTCGTAATCTCCCTTGCACGCGAAAAGTCGCGCGACTCGGCCCGAACGGGATCGAACGAATCGATGCACATTGGAATCGAAAGGTTTGATGAGTAGTCCGGTGGAAGTAGAAATCCCTGAATAGGGAGGAATGGTAGGGGGAGGGGGAACAGGTGGCAGAAAAGAAACCGGTCGAAGAAAGAGGCGTCGCGCTACGTTCGACGGTTGCTCGATTCATATCGAGAGGATTTTTAAGGCGGGGATAAATTCCGGGGAACTCCTTATCCGGCGCCGGCAAATTGAATCGGGGACACAAAAACCTCTCCCTCTCTCTCTCTCTCTCTCTCTCCCCCTTCGTTCGTTAAATTTTCTCCCCCTCCTCCGAGAAATGCTCTCTTGACGAAATATCTCTTCGAAGAGGTGCGTTCGATCCAAAGAAAGATTTTCGAAAATGAGAAAAAAAAGAAGGAAGGGAGAGGAAAAGGAAGAAGGACATCTATTAACGGCGATCCAGGAATAACGCGTGTACAGCCGCGTTAACTTTTCTCGAAAAGAGAGCGGGGGAAAGAATTCCAATTAAAGTAGTTGGGGGCCGATATTCTCGATATTTCTTGCTAACCTCTTCTCTGTACCGTAACTTTCGAATAAGTTGCAGTTTGCTGTAACGAGCTTTTAAAATTCTCTACGGATTCTACGGGAGGGGGATATCGAAAGGATATCATTTTTCCGGACCCGTTTCCCTCCCGCTCCGATATATCTCTCGACCGCCGTCGCCCCGATTAATCCCCTTACCCCCTCTCCCCTACCATTCTGTTACAGTTGTCCCTTTTATTATAGTTGTCGTTCCAGTCGTCGTCCTTCCTTTTTCCACCATCCAGCAGCACACGAGGAATCACCACTTTCCAGGTGGAAAGTTGCGGCGGAATAGGAAACGAAAGTCGCGTAACTAATTTCGACCGCGCGGATCGTTTCGACCAATTAAACGATCCGCCCCCTCCTCTCCCCCCCCCCCTCTCCGCTCTGACTCGAGACTTTTTAACGAGGTAACTCGTTATTAAAATATCCCTTCCAAGTTTTACGATCCTACCCGTAATCCTCGTTCACGCTCTCTCTAAAATTTCATTTATGCGAGAGAGAGAGAGAGAGAGAGAGAGAGAGAGAATGAGAGAGCGAGAGAGAGGGAGAGGGATTCTAGAGCGAGGATTAGTCTCTTTCGCGTCGCTCTCGCTCGTTAAGCTTTATCGCCGGGCAAATCGGCCGGGTCGGCGACACGGAACGGTTACGAAAAGAGAGCGCGACAAGTGGAGTGAAAGGGTGAGAGGAAAGGGAGAGAGAGAGAGAGAGAGAGAGGGAGAGGGAGAGAGATCATCGAGACGGATGTTAAAAGCGGGACCAGTTGGTAGGAGTAATCGGTCTGGGTCGCGGCTCCTGTTCCTCCTGCCCGTTACCCCCGACATGGAGAGATCGGCCGTTTCCTTCGGAAGGGAGCGGAAGGGAGGGGGCGAACGTGGTGTTTCTGTTATTGTCTTTAGCGGCCCGTTAAAAAACCGTGTTTACCCCTGACAGGCGCCATCGGTCTGCCACCGCGTCTCCTCTTTTTCATCGTCACCCTCTCTCTCTCTCTCTCTCTCTGTCTCTCTCTCCTTCTCCCTCTATCCCTCGAGCTTTTTCCTCCCGCGACGACCGGTGGCCGGATAAAAACGGCGCTGGCCTATTAATAGCGAACACGTGTCTCGTCGGCGTGGCGAACGTCGGGGACCCATTATCGCCCCACGATTTTACATCATTACGCGTAATTGGAGAATCCTCTCTCTTTCTCTCTCTCCGTCCCCGTCCTCTCGAGATTTATCTTCCGTTTCGTTTCGATTAAACGGGCCGGGGAATTTCGTGAGAATTTCCGTGAGGGGGAAATATCTTTTGCCTCGAACGGAAGAGGAGAGAGAGAGAGAGAGAGAGAGGATCGATAAAGGGACAAAGGAGAGGGAGGGAGAAACGATCGTAATATTTGAACAACGCTGTTTAGAATTTATAATTTATAATTTATAATTTCTCTCCCCTTCGACTTGGACAGCGTTGTCGTTGGGGCGAGCGGGATAATTAATCTCGGTATAATTATTCAGCGCGTGCGAGACGTGTAGAGGATCCAGAGGGTGGTTCACGAGCGCAGATCGAGCGCGAGTTTCGAAGGAGAGCCGAGTTTTTGCGCGCCCTTTCTCCTCTCCTCTCCTCTCCTCACCTCTCCCTTTACGCGGGGGGTGCTAAACGCATCGGCCTTCCTTAATTGAATTCTCTCGACCCCCGTTGGCGAGTTGTAACTACCGAAATTGCAACAAACATTTTGTCTGTTCTCTCGAAGCTTCCTCGAGCTCGTTCCCTGCCGGATTCATCGGCGTGGAAATTAGAACGGCGAGAATTCTTTGTCTCTCTCTCTCTGTCTCTCCTCTCCCTTTTCGGCTCTCCTCTCTTCTCCTCTCTTCAATCCTTCCCCTTCGATCCGCGGAAGAGGCGTTGTCCCTTCAGCCTTCCGGCTTCCTTTCTTCAACGATCCAAAACGTCGATCTGTCCCGAGAATTATTATTCTCCTCCTCCCTCGCCACGATAATATTCTCTCCCTCTTCTCTCTGATATCCGCGCGCGAAATCACATCTTGCTACGATAAATGTCAAAGGGGATGCGTATCAGGGACTTATATAGGACTTGTTATAGACGGAGTTCATTCGACGGAAGAAAAAAGAAGAAAACGGGAGACAATGGTACGAGTGAGAGGAGCGTAGGAGGAAAATAAAAGAGAACACAGGATGATAGTGATTAAAAAACACGGTGCACGATTCTCGTAAAGTCGTCTCGAGTTTTATCGAGTCGACTGTATTCCTTTCGTTTTTCTAACCCATTTATTCCAGGTAGCCACGATCATTTTCGGGGGAAGGGGAACGTTCTTCTCGAGGTTAATTTCTTCCGGGCGATATTTATCGTCTACAACTCTCTCTCTCTGTAATCGAGGTGGTGGGCTCGCCACCCCTCGACGTCCCCCTCTTTCACCCCCCTGTCGTGAAAGTTTAGATTAAGTCTCGGGTATAATGCGACGAGTGCGACCAATTGGAGGACGAGTTTGAATTATCGTTCGCGCGAGATTGCAACCACCGTGTCTGGAAGGAAGGGGGTAGGTATACTTGCAGCTTAGAGTTGTGGCGGCATAATGAGAAAGTCGAACGAGAGGAGAAAATATTGTTGAAGAAATGGGAAATCCAACCGAGTTCTCCTCCCTTTCGATCGAGAATTCGACGTCTCTTGAGTGGAGAAAGCGAGGCACGAAAGATGGTGACGGAAAGAAATCCGCGGTGACAGCGTTTTCTTTTTTTTCATCGAACCGAGTCTCTTCGTCACGCTTGGGAATCCGCTTTGTTTCTGCCTGTGCGGTGCAGGGAGCCGACAAAGAAGAACCCGCGAGGAACGTTGAGAAGAGGGAGAAGAAGTTTTGGCGGCAACGATGAGAAGGGAAGGCTAGAAGAGGTGAACCGGGCTGGAATTATTTTCAGGAAGGTGGGCTATTTTTCAGGTTAGCGATTACGTATCGTTGCCGCAGCTACGGTTAATTACAGCACGAGCGGAATTGGTTTCGTTTATTGGGGCTCGATGGATGGAAAGGTATCGTCGTTTCGAGCGAATCGAAATGGGCAGACGTTCGATATCCTCGTGGATATCGGCGGAGGAGAAGGAGGAGGGACCCCTCGTCCGGATTATCCCGAACCGATTGTGTCTCCTCTCTTTCGCCGATAGCCCGGATTTCCTGCCAATCTACCCGCCGTCTCGTGTCCGGTTTCAGCTATTGCGACAACTCGGTGTTGTTGGCCGACCCGAGCCTTGGCCAACAAACCATGATAATTCCTCGATCGTTTATCGAATTTTATTTTCCTGTAAACTGATTATTTTCGAAAGATCGAATCGAATCGAATCGAATCGAATCTCGAGATCTTGAAACGAAGTTGAACGTTTCCAACGGTTGCAAGTGGTACACCCACACGTGTAAAAAGAAATCACGATAGATCACGAGAGATACGAGAGAGAGAAGCAGGACGCAAATCCTTTGATCCCTTGCAAAGGTCCTCGGTCTTTCTTCTGCTCGGAAGATTCCATTATACAGCGGATGAAACCACGCGAAGGCGGACAGTTACGCGCTTTGTTCCCGCGTACGAAGAATCAATTTATACCCGGGGCGGGCGTAATATTTTTCCATTTCTCGCGCGTATGCACGTCATATCATGGCGACCTAAAGGAATTCTTTAACCTACTCTTTTCCGCTTTTCAATCCCCGAATTCTCCTCGCCCCCTCCTCGGCAAATACCGAGCGTGTCTCATCAAAATGTCGCCGCTTAAATCCTTGCCAAGGTTTCTTCAGTTTTGACGGGACGGTTGAACGAAACGGAGAATAAACCGCGATAAAGAGAAACGGCGAGAGGAGGAGAACGGATATCTCGTTCCGCTGCTATACACCGGTGAATGTTACCGCGACGTGTCGAGTCGTTTTCCATCTCCATTTCACGATACGTTGATACGGGCCGTAAATAAAAATAAATAAATAACGCGA